TAAAAGAAAGAACGTTTCCTTCATGCTAAAAAGAAAACACGCTGATTTTCTTTGGGAGGTTCTTAGTAAATACACCACAAGGCCATGAACTGGTTTGATTTTTCCAGTTGGATTCAATTGCCAAGCATTCCCCATGAATGTTTTCATTGAAATGATGCAATGCTGGGAAAATGCTGATCATTGGTCCATTGAGTTGGGACTTTGGTTCTCATGCACGTCACTTCCTTCAACTGTTCTCAGGTAATTTCCTGGTAAAACAGGGGAGGTTCATGGAAATAGCCCCTTCAGATTCAAATGTTAAGGTACTCAAGATCTTCAAGTGGAAAAATAAAGTATTGAGCAATGATGGTGTGTATAATTGTATGTTTCAATGCATCTTAAAACACATTGTTGAGCCCATTGATTTTATTTTTACAGCTTTGGTCAGATGTAATTCACATACCATTACAGCTGGCATGTTTAAGTGCACAGAGTCCGTGATTTTTAGTGTATCTAAAGTTGTGTAGCCACCACCACTAACTAACATTGTCACTGCCCCCCAAAGAAGCCCCAGACCCATTAGAAGTTACTCCCTGGCCTTCCCTCTCTGCAGCCTGAGCCAGAGCAACCACTAATCTACTCTCTATGGGTTTGCCTGTTGTGGATGGGTCATGTAAATGTAATGAACCAATTGATGTTTGTGGTGTGTTTGACTGTTCAGTAACTTTGATGGTTTTGCACAGTGGGAAGATGTATGCAGTACACCCACTAAATGAGTGTGATGAAACTAATTATTTCACTGGCTGAAGAGTTCCACATTTGCCCATTGTGAGTGCACATGTGTGTGTGCGTGTGCACGCGCACACACACAACACACACACATTCTCAGGGTCACTCTGCTATTATCAGCTAGGAACTCACATTGCTTAACAGAATTTTGATTCCGTTATCTTATTCACGGGTCTGAAGGCATAACAACTGAATGGATTCCATGCAGTAACCTCTCGTAAAGCATGTGTGGGATTTCCATCCTGCTGTAATATGGATCATGCATCCAGAGAAAAAGGCTGATTTTGTTTCATTAGCTGGCTACCATCTTAAATGAAAATTGTATGTAAAATGGTCTTTGTTTTGATCCATCTTGTTGCAAGGTAATGTATGTGAAGATTATGAATGTGTCACTTCACAAAAATAGCATTTAGAATACCTGGTTTAGAGCAGTTCTTTAACTATAATGTGCATACAGGTCAACTGTGACCTTGTTAAAAAAGCAGCTTCTCATTCAGCGGGTCTGGATGGGGCCTGAGTTTCTGTTTCTAGCAAGTTCCCGGGGGCTGCTGGCGCTGTAGTTCCTGGGACTAAGAAACAGGAAAAGCAGGGCAAGCCCGAGGCCCAGGTGCCCACCACAGGAATCTCACTAACTGACAATGTGACCTTGGCCAAATAATTTTCTCTTCTTAATTTCAGTTGACTACACAATAAAAGATCTGATGAAATTATTTTTGGGGACTCTAACAGAGCGAAATGAATGTAATTTAGAATAAAAAACAAAACCAGAGGGTAATGTTATGCTTGAAAAACATGGGCAAACAGCTCCCTCATTGAATACTGTTTATTTCCAGGAAGCCAGCATCCTTTGTAGGCTCACTGAATGCTGGCATCTTGACATGCCTGCCAACAGAACAACTGGCTTTCTCCAAGGAGACTGGGAGAGGAATGCTTCTAGTTTGGGCTTCTGCCCTCTTCTCCTTAGAGCTGGCTGTCCCTGAAAACTTCTCCTCACTCCCCACCCAGGGCCCAGGCCACCTTCAGAGGCGAGACTCCGAAGGAAGCACACTGAGGTCTCTAGCAGACAGAGTTTGCTCAGGAATTCAGATGCAGTGGAGACAAAGGAGTAGGATCCTGATGAAGAGCTGGGCAGGAAGTATCCCAGAATATGCTAGCCTCCCTCCCTCTGAGTGTCAAGATCTAGGAACAGCCCACCCTCCTCCTCCTTGGAGAGCAGTTAGGTGGCTTTCATGTTACCTTGTCTGCCCTTCCAATTTCCCATGCAGGCTGATATTTTGAAAAAAAAACAAAACAAAACAAAAACCCTGAAGCCCTGAGCACCAAGTACTGTTAGTGACAAACAGGAAGTAATTATTTAGTGTATCTTAGCTCCAGAAAAAGCTGTTGTGCAAACCACTTGACCCTTTCAAGGGTTTCTGAGAGAGGATCCTTATCTGCTGTATCAGGGTCAAGCAGTGAGGTGGCTTTCATGCTATCTTGCCTGCACTTCTTTTTGCAATCACTTTTCCAAGTGAGTCCTCTTTGTTAAGACTTTCCAAAGCAATCGGCCTTGTTTTCAAGAAATAAAAACCTTTTTAGCACTTATATTTTATTAGTTTGTGTAATATTGAATTGAATTCCATAATTAAAGTAGCAAACAACTGGCTCCTCTGAGGTAGACGATTCAGCCGGTGGGAGAAGTAGTTCAGAGGTGTCTTGAGAGTAGCTTTGAGGTCAAGATCTGTGGACAATGGTCACTGTGGTTAACAAGAAGAATAGAAAATAAAGGCTCACTAGGTGAATGTTGGTAAGAGAGCTTATACTGTATTTTTAAACCAATGTCATCCATTTAAGAATTTTAACCTAATTTTTCAGGTTACTATTAGCTGGCTTGTTAGTGTTTTTTCATATGCCTTCTTTTCTGTTCAAATGCCAAATTTGTCAAGGAAAAGATTGTATTATTCATTGTTGTATCCCAATTTTCATTCAAATGATCGGCCTATTGTAGGTGCTCCACAAATATTTGTTGAAAGGTTAAGGTTTTACCACATAAAATATACTTTGTCTATCAACATTATAAATATTCTAGAGGCTCAGTGCACGGAATTAGTGCACAGGTGGGGTCCCTAGGTCTGGCAGGCGATCAGGGCAGATCAGGTTCCCCGCCTCCCTGTCTCCTCCTTCCCTCATTGCCAGTATCTTCCACCACCCACCCCTGGTGGTTCCCTATCCCAACCCAGGGCCCGTAGGCTGGAGGCAGTTCCTACATTGAGTGTCTGCTCCCTGGTGCTCAGTGTACATCATAGCAACTGGTTGTTACAGTCTTAAGGGTTGCTTATGCTTTTATATATACACTAGAGGCCTGGTGCACAAAATTCATGCACTGAGGGGCGGGAGGGGTTCCCTCAGCCTGGGCTGCATCCTCTCATAATCCGGAGCCCCTCAGGGATGTCTGCCTGCCGGCTTGGGAGGGGGTCTAAGCAAGCAGGTGTACATCCCCAAGGGGCCTTAGCTCTGCCATGGAGGCGAGAGGCTTCAGCAATCACCTCTGCACCAAAAGGCGGTGGCAGTAGCCTCTCCTGCCTCTGAGGCAGCACTAAGGAGCAGCGAGCCCAGCTTCTGGCTGAGCAGCACTCCCCCTGTGGGAGTGCACTGACCACCACAGGGCAGCTCCTGCATCATAGCAACCGGTCGTTCCACCACTCAGTCAATTTGCATATTAGCCTTTTATTATATAGGATATATAGACTTCAAGGTATGTAAAATATTTACTTATGTGTTATAAACTATGATTGATTATAATAAATTAAATAGGTAAAGGATATTATTATTCTTTAATAATAATACTTTTAGCATAAATATTCACAGAATAACAGAATTCACAGCTTGAAGTCACTTTAGAAGTGATTTGATTGCTACAGGCATACACAGACACAAAAATAATTTAAAGAGCAGTTTGAGTGTTATTTCATTTCTTTTTTTTTGCCTTTAGCTTTTTTCCTTTGATGTTATGAAATATTTTCCCTCTCTGGTGCAAAACACTTCTTCTTGTCAGAGTTTTGAAGTTCAGGGAAGCTTGGAGAGAAACGCTGTTTCAGTGAAATTCATTATTGCCCTGAGGATTAAGATAATAACAGTCTTGTGTCTCCATTCCCACCTTATACAATCAGGTTAAATGAATACCCATTGCAATACTATGCAACCAGCAAGTGCCAATCTGTAAGCCTCTGAGTTCCTGTTATATGCCCATCACCGTGAAGGCTCTCAAATTTGGCAGGTGATCACACCGTGAGCCTTCAGAACCCGCCTTAGATGAGCCAGGTACAGTGCTAAGTCTTGAAGCAAAAAATAAACAAATAAACAAGACCCAGCCCTGTCCTCAGAACTCCATGCTCACTGCATAGAGGCAGATAAAGAATGATAAGAAAAATAAGTACAATATCCTGTAGAATAATTTCCTCTGTCTGAGGAAAAAAAGGGGATGGTGTTTCAGAGAGGGGTTCCTCAGGGAGGCGGTTACCTTTGATCTGACTCTGGAAGGATCAGCAGGGTGGCAGGAGTCACAGTGTGTCTGGGAGAGGACATCCCAGGCCCTGGGTAGAGATGTGTGAAAGCAGGAGGCATGGCAGAGACTACAGCTTGGGCACTTGGAGGAACTGGGCATAGCCTGAGTGTGGGGGAAGTGGGGAGAGCTGAGGCTTGAAGAGAAGTCAGGCCAGCAATGGACTTAATAGTTACCTTTTTTGTGTTAGAGCAGTGGTCGGCAAATTCGTTAGTCAACAGAGCCAAATATCAACAGGACAGCGATTTAAATTTCTTTGGAGAGCCACATTTTTTAAACTTCAACTTCTTCTAATGCCACTTCTTCAACATAGACTCGCCCAGGCCGTGGTATTTTGTGGAAGAGCCACACTCAAGGGGCCAAAGAGCCGCATGTGGCTCGAGAGCCGCAGTTTGCCAACCACAATGTTAGGGGATCATGAAAGGATTTTAAGCAGGGAAGCAACAGCTGGAAGGAGATAACATTCTCCTGGAGGAGATGAAAGAAGCCCAGTGAGATAGAATCATTAGTGTCTAACTGTGAAATTCCAAATAAGGAATTCTGAGAAGGCTAAGACCGGCCGGCTTACATGACATTTCTGGTGGAGACTTGGATTGTAGGCATGTTGAGAAGGGTGGAAAGGATTCAGGTCCATGTGGAAGACATGAGTGAGCAAGGTTTGCTGTGGGATTCTGAAGAAACTGGCCTGGCCATGAGTAAGTGGAGGAGGGGGAAAGTAGAACATCAGATGGCAGAGGAGCAAAGAAAGCCAAATGGGGAGTGACAAATTTTAACTGATTGCAAATGGACACAAATAAATGAATCTTGCAAAAATGTTGTTCATCTTGTCTATTGCTTCCTTCCTTTCAGAAGATAAATTAGAGAAGGAAGGAAGTGTAAGCCTTTCTGGGACAGAAGGGGTGATAGGTTCTTTGGTGTGATTCCAGAAGGGCTGGCGAAATGGAACCTGGTCCTTGTCTGTGTATTTATTTCATTATTAATATTAAAAGTGACATTATTTCTTCCTTAAATATTTGAAAGAATTTACCAGGGAAGCTGTGTGGGCCCAGAGTTGTCTTTGTGGAAATGTTCTGAATTATATTTCTTTAACAAAGAGAGTACTATTCAGATTTCCTCTCCCTCATTGTTTCAGTTTTTATGAGTTGTGTTTTTCAAGGACTTTTCCACATTTTATATGTTACCAACTTTATCCGCATAAAGTTGTGCATAACATTCTTGTATTATGTGTTTAATCCTCTTGTCTGTAGGATCAGTAGTGATGTTCGTTCCTAGTGATGTAGGTAATTTGTATTCTCTTTATTTTTATTTTTTTAATATATATTTTATTAATTTTTTACAGAGAGGAAGAGAGAGGGATAGAGAGAAACATCGATGAGAGAGAATCATCCATCAGCTGCCTCTTGCACACCCCTTACTGGGAACCAAAGTACATGTCCTTGACTGGAATCGAACCTGAGACCCTTCAGTTCGCAGGTCCATGCTCTATCCACTAAGCCAAACCGGTTTCAGCTCTTTATTTTTCTTCATCAATCTTGGCCATTTATTTTAAATTTTGTTTTTGTAGGTTGATAATTACATCTGATAGGTGAGCTGATCACTTAATTAAAAAGGAGTGTTTTTCTAGTAATCAGAAAATAGGATTTTAATGTCTAGAAGTAAAAATTGCTTACTTGGTTAGAGCAAAAATCTGCCAAGGGAAAAAGTTTAAACCTAATCTTTTTAATTTTACTTTTAATTGCTGTATATAACTCAATACATTTGAACTTGGTATGGCAAATCTACTAGTGTTGTAAATAATCTTGAGTTGCAGTTATTGCATAGTATTTGCTTGTATATTTGTTTGTTTTCGGATGACTGCTCAATTCTTCTTTCTTCTTTGGAGCATATGGAGGCAGATACTGAATTAAAAGAAGTCTCCTTCCCTTCTCTTTCAAATGTACTTTTAAAGCGTGATGTCTCAACCTCAGCACTATTGACATTTTGGGCTGGATGATCCTTTGTTCTGAGAAGCTGCCCTGTGCACTGTAGGATGTTGAACAGCAGCCCTGGTCTTTAGCTACTCCCTCTCCAACTGTGACAACCAAAAATGTTTCCAGACATTGCCAAATAACAACTGTTGGGAGGGGGGGCAAAATTGCCCCATTTTGAGAATCAGTGCTTTAGAGTAACGGGATTGAAAGCCTTTTGTGCTTCAAAATATTGTAAAATCTGAGTAGTGGCTTGGTTGAACACATCTGCAAAATGGGCAGATCTCTGGTTTAAAAGCTGTTATCCTTCAGAAAGGGATGCTGTGTTTTTCTATCTGAAGGAAGTTTTTTGTTTGTTGTTTTTTACTTTTTTAATATTACCAGAGAATCTGGAGCTCGAACGGAGAGCTTTTTGGACCACCTAATTCACTCTTCCTTTGCAGTAAAATGACAGCTAAACCATCTCGATAATTAAACCAAAGGCCCCTGTGAATAGAATGCCTGGCTTTCCTTGGCAACTTGTTCAGGGCACTTTGTCTTTAAAACGACTAAATCAATATGAAGCTCATTTTGCTTATTAAAATCATTTCCATCATCTTTTGTTCTCTTCATTAAGTGGAAAAACATCGAGGATCTAGTCCCATTTCTTAATATCCTTAATTACTTTGATGGCCTTTCCAAATTTAGAATTCATCTCCTTAAGTATAATCAAATCTACCCAGATTAAGCCTTTCAGGCAATCTTCCTGCACATTCTATTTCAGCTTTAGGGTCTGTGCTCGTCACATCATTATGTTTTCCATGTGTTTGAGAGTCATGGGAGTTGTAAGAGGAAAGACTGGTTTTTCCCTTCTTTATAACAGACAGCCTTTAAGGACAGTCTGTAATCTCCTTGCTTCCCCCGTGTCCTCAACTCCTACCTCCTAGTAAAGACCTTAAGTTGGTGTTTTCGGAGAGATCTGAGAACGTGTATAGAAAAAGAAACAGGAACTTTGGAAACAGGAACTAGGAGGAGCCTGGGAAATCTGCTATTTTGTATGAGCATCAGGCCACTCTTTTAGGTTTAGGACTGTGCTGTTTCACATTGGCTTCCTGAAAAGAAAGCTTAAATGGAGGATTTAAAATGGCAGTTCAAATGCAGGCATCTGTTCTTTCACACAAGGAGACGTGTAATTAGGAGAGAAAGTCAAATCCTTAAGAGAACTTTATTTCCACAGCCATTTTTAAATATTTTCCCTTTAGGTTTCACACGTGGTTTATTCTGACAATGTCCATGGTAAGTACAACAGAGTGAAGAACATTAAAGAGATGAGTTTCTATTCCAAGTGTTATTACCATGTTGCAAAGCCACTGTCCTGGGTTACCAAAAACTGGTTTGAGCTCTATCACATATGATGATACGTTGTCACAAATATTTTTAGAAGTTTTGTAACAGGCACGGATATTAGAAAGTCATTTTAAAATTGATTATTGGAAGATAATATGTATACAGAAAGTGGGAAAATCACAAGCATACAACTTGACAAATTTTTTTTTACAAACTTTAGTCAATACACAGACTAAGAAGCAGAATATGATTAGCCCCTCAGAAATCCCCAACAAACTCCCTTTTCAGCTCCTCTGACCAGGGGTACTCACTCCTAATTTCTGCCAACATAGTTTTGCCTGATCTTGTATTTTATATAACTGGAATCGTACAGTATGAACTTTTAATCAACATTAATAGCATTATTTCAAAACTTGGTGATGATATCTGTTTAGACCTGCTTCTTCATTATTATGGTGATACCTATGTGCATAGAGCTGTATTAGGAAGTGCATAAACCACTGAGTCCTACCTCCCATTTTAAGGGGGAAAACATAAATACAGCAGGACTTTGAAAATACTTGATGAGAGATGAGAATGGTACATGAAAAACATGTATAGTGAGGAAGAGATTACAAAGATAAAGCATCCCATTATCTACCTCACGATGGAAAGTAGATCATGATGGATTATGAATAAAGAGAAAGTGGAGATGTTGCATATTTATTCAGGATATGATCAGTATGAATACTTTTGAGACCACCCATGAATTCATTTCCTGAAGAAGATGGAGTTTTAGAAAATGTCTCAATTTACGGTAGTCAGTCAACTATTGGCTAGTGGGTAGTCAAAGTGGAGTCCAAGTTTGCAAAAAAAGGGTTGAAGATCTGATTCTGATTCTCATCCTGAAAATTTTTAGAAATAGATATAAAACTGTTTTTGCCAAAATAACTTTTCTTCTTGTGCTGTTTGGGCATAGACCATAACAATGTGTTTATTTCTTCAATAAAAAAATGTGTCATCTTGTTGACTGAAGTAATGATGTAGTTAGCAAAAGAAATGCTTTATCATTACATAAAGTTGGCTTTAAACTGTTCACTACTGCTTGCCACATAGTGGTATCACTTTATTCTCTCACCAGTAGTGTGTAAGCATTCTAGTTTCTCTGTATCTTTACCAGCATTTGGTATTTGTCATATAGCGTATAATTTTTTTTTTAAATTCTATAGGTTTGAGGTGGTATTTCATTGTTTTTTTATGTTGAGTTTTCCTAGAGGTTGAAACTTCTAGGTAAGTTATTAGGCCGTTTGTGTTTTCTCTTTCATTGATATCCTTTTTTTTTTTCTTATTTATTTGTAGCAATTCTTTATACATTCTGAATTCTAACTCTTAGTTAAATGTGTTGTCAACATCATCTTCCTCTCAGTGGTTTATCTTTTAACTTTATGGAACACATCTTTTATTGTACAAAACATTTTTATTGTGATAAAGCCCTAATTATCAATATTTTTGTTAGTCTTTTATGATTTGTGCTTTTAATTTTTGCCTTGTTTTATAATTGTTTCTAACTCAAAAGTGATAAAGATGTTCTATTCCAATGTATTTTCTCTTAAAGATTTTTTTTAAATGTATGCTTTTCATTTTTCAGTTCTTATTCCATTGGGATTTTAGTTTTAGTTTTTTGGAATAGTATGAGTTAGAAATCTATTTTTATTTTATATTTCCTATACATATACCACCAGGGACTTAATAGTTTATCTTTTCCTCACTGATCTTTATCTAATACCATCTCTCAAGTATTAAGTTTTCCTACTGTATATGTGTATATATCTCTGGACTCCATTCTGTTCTTTGGTCTATTTTGCCATCCATGTACTAATATTACCCTGTCCTAATTCCTGTAGATTTATACTATGCCTGGCTATCTCCCAGGAGAACTTTTCTCTCTTTTTTTAAAAAAAATATTATTTTATTGTTGGCAGTAATACAGATGTCCCCCATTTCCCCCTCCTCCCATCCTACTCCCCCAGGCCTTCACCACAGTGTGTCCATGGGCTATGCATACAAGTATATAAGTTCTTTGGTTTATTTCTTCTCACCCCTTTCCCACCCCCACCCCCAATATGTCAGTCTATCCCATGCCTCGGGATTTGTTTTGTTGGTCCATTTATAGTACTTTTCTCTTCTTGTTCTTAATTAAAAGTGTCTGAGATACTCTTCATTTTTTGCTTTTGGAATCAGCTTTTCATGTTCCACACACATTTGTACTAGGATTTGGGGTGGGATTACACTGAATTTACAGAATATTTTCCGTGATAGTCACTGGGTTTACTATATTGAACCTACCAATTGTTTATGTGGTGTAGCTCTTCATATAATTAGATCTTCTTCTACACGCCTTAATAATGTTTTTAAAAGTATAC